CCACATGGCGCATCGTTCCACAACTGAGTCTCCTGAGGTGATTCTCTACCAACAATTAAGCAGCATCAGATTCAAAACTTAATCTTCTTCTGTGCCGGCCCGAAAATCACACCATCGATCTGGCTCATTTATCAATCGGTCGGATAGTTCAGCCCCAACAAGGGACTTGGTGCTTGTCCAGCTAACCCGATCGAGAAACCACACTTTGTCTACAGCCGCGAGTCTCCAGCAGGTCCAGTGAACTTCGACTGTGCAGCGGGGATGCCATCAGCCCACGGATGGTCATGACAANNGACATGACAACAAGAGCATTACAAAACGTACAAGCCGGTAATCAGACAGTCTCGTGTTGGGGCGGGGAATTCCAAGTGCCGCAGATGGTGGAATATAATCCAGTCAGATCACAGAAATGGTCAGAGGGAATTTGCTTGTTTAAGGTCATGGGTGAAAGGGACGAAACGATGTGAAACGATGGAGCAATCGCACTGTACAGCAGCAGTGCTATCACAACACGGATGAACTGCACATAACAACAAGATCACAAAAAGTACAAGACAATGGAAACGATGGAGCGATCGAACTTTCGTACTATCCATACGGCAAAATGACATCTGAAATTGATATTCGGACATCTTAACTTGAAAAGGGTATAGTTCATCGAAGTAATGGAGGCGGTCTACCACAAAAGTAGTATAGTAAAAACCGTTCGAACTTTAAAAATAACTGAAAACGCACAATATAATAAAATATCGTCGTTGAACGGACCAAATTGTTTCCGATGACGCTAAAGTTGACTGAAAAGAGCAGTAGTAAGGCATTACCGACCAGTTGAGTGGATAGCAGAATAATTCATACTGACTTGCTTTTATGTAACTACCTCTTGCGTGACGATAAGCCTGCTTCCCTGACGTGTTCGATGCGCTGGGTTCAGGAGGAGCGTGAACACTAATTCCAGTACTAGCTTCCGAGTCCATGCGAGGCTTTCTCACCCAGATTCTTCATAGTCTTTAACGGCGATGACCTAGTTCTTCAAGTGACCACTGAGACGACAGTACCATCCCGAATACTACATGGGGAAAAGATTTCCACAACGGGTTGCCGCAGAACTGCGCCGAAGCAATGGAGACAACATTATTGCAACAGAGTAGAAAGCTTTTCGAGTGAATAACAGTACCGGCGAACGTCCTCTTTGGATAATTGGTCGGGCCGCTATTCCTTCAGGATGTAGCACAGACACCAGTCATCGAAAACCTCGAATTTTAGGGGTTCTTGGATTCATATTGTGTCTCTCAGCCGTATTTCAAGAAAGGGAGGACTGTATCTCGTTGGAATAGCACCCTGTTAGGGACGCCCGTCTCATTGCTTGGCCCAGTGTTTTACGGAGTAATGAGAAAGCCCTCCTATCTAAATCTTAAACAGATGTATATTTGGAAGCCAGAACAAAACCTAATGGCTCATCGTTACTTGTGATCGGATAATTTACCGTGAAGGTTACGGCTGAAATGAGCTTTTGTTTTGGAAGTGTTTTTACACGCGTTTTTATTTGATAAAAAGAGTGTCATGATCGAAGGTCAACTGTAGGTTGTTTACAGTGTCCCGGAGATCAGCCATGTCCTCCTCAAGCTTGGTACTCGCAATCCTGTTATTCGGCCGAATTAACACCTCTAGGTAGTTGATGAAGGCATGGTTCGCAGTTCGGTCAATCGTGTAGTTAAACCTCACCGGGAAATAGGGAACAAACTTATCAAATCTGCCGATTTTTAGGGGAAATCCAACAACTCCTCTTATATGTGGAATCAAGCTCGGATGTACACCTAGGTTAGTGCAGTGATAATACAAGTTTGTTATTTACTTTCATTATTCTCTACAATGAAGTTCTAAAGTGAGCGAAAGTCGATGAAACAGACCGTTGTTGACTGCTGGAAATAGTATCTTTATTCGAAGATCATGCGGGTTCTGATCATAAGAACCCAGGAAGCTACAATGGATCACACGGGTTCCCGAAATTTTCTTCCTGCTGCTAAGCAATATCACTCAGAAATATGATCACTATTTCAATCAAGATGACACGTTGGCACTTCTTGTACATAATCTCGTCACCATTTTTGGGGTGGAAAGCAGAAGACAGACAACCTTAGTAGGATTTGAACCCGCATACGGGTGCCACCTACACCTTTTGTTCAGCTTGTGCTCTACAAGCTGAGTTACAGGACCACTCCGATTCGTAGTTAGATCGTCGTCCTATTTACGATTGCACGTACAATCCACCGCATAACATGTAAAGTGTGCTTGCCCTGGGAGGTGTTTCTGGTAATTCGTCATATGAACTCTAAAGTTAAATGGTTCAAATTATACTCTTCGGCAGATGATAGTCTCAGGCGGCGTACACGTAATCGTTTCAATCCCACCGTTGTTATTACCCTTTTCACAATCCAAACATACCACTGTTTTCCTATATTATCCGGCAAGTCGATTGTAAAACACATTCGAGAAACAAACTGGTTCACCTCAGAACATTATGAGAAAACTAAGTGCCAAACCCAAAAGCCATCGTAAGTGCAATTATGGCCCATCGTCAAAACAACAGGTCGAAAATGAACACCACTGAAACCTTCTAACGTGTTCCATCAACGTCACCTTACAACACCCAAAGGGATTGCCATCGAGTTACTAAACTCATTGTTTTATTTCAGAACATTATTCAGACAATCACTTCGGCAGATTTCGGTACCTATAATACTGGTAATATACGCAAATCAAGAATGAGAAACGTAATCAAAATCGTACTGATGATCAACTACCAATTCCCCTTTTAACAAGACGTAAGAATAACTCCACAGAAGTACCAGCTGATTCATTCAAATAAATCAAGGGAACTGAATAATGTTAGCTGTACCAGTGTTAACCAGTCGTTCTTGTCACATGATTTTCGTTTTAACCAGGTGGATTTTGATTTCACTATGGCATTGGCTTCTCAATGGTTTTTCTGAAACTGTATAGTGTTGCTCCTTGGCTGGTGTTGTCCCGTTGAAACACAACCTGAGACCAGGCATTAAGATCATCACGATCGTCTTCTAGACCCCGTGACATGACAACACCTCCCATTAGGTTACCTGGCTGGGGACCTCGGGATGGTCGTAACCGATGGTTAGACACACTGAGTGATATATCTGGGTGTCGTAAACAGTGGCGTTCGAGCATCTTATCAATTTTTCTGCATCATTAGTCCAATGAACTTTTCAATTTTCTCTTTCATCCTTCCTTCAACCTTCCCCTGTTTCTCCCTTACTATTCACCCAAATGGGCAGCCAAAAGACAGCAACCAAAAGCGTCGCACGGAAATGCACGCTTAATGGTTGTACAAACTAAACTGAGCTGAACACTGTTCATTACACTGAGCGAAACGAGACATGGTAAGACACTTTGTTTGAATGACTTTTCTTTCACAAATCAAGACGCGTTTGCTGCTCACCAAAGTTTGTTGCCGTTTCGTTCCTGGTTTTAACATTTAAATGCGTTGGTGTTTCTAGACAAGAAATTAAACCGTTCCTACTGACTGGATGCTGGGAATTGCTGAAAATAAGTCTTAAAGGGGCGTGCTTTGCTTCCGTATTCCGTCCCGTTTGTGGGTTATCCTATTCGAAAGCCAACACCACATGATGTATCACTTAAGGTGTGTACTACAAGTGAGTACTTGGTGTGGCTAGATAGAAGTACATGAAGTATACGAAAGTGTGTCTAGGCCGTTTAATCCTGAAATGCAGATCAGTAAGCTATGAAGATTGGTTCCCGCAGCATATCCGGGATATTTCATGTCGGAAAGTAACTGATGTACAGCTAATTCGGGGAAACACAACGTACCATTTCTGACTAATGCGAATCGACTCTATGGGAACAGTTTATAAGAAAAATTCACCGCACGAATAAACACATTTTACTCACATCTCATGGTGCAGGACTAGACTGGTTTAGACTGACTATTCTTATAATTTTAGCCCTACCATTGAAATTCTCAAAGGAGGCACTAGACTCTTGATCCTGTAAATCATTAGTTCATATCTATAGTATCGTCTGTGGTTTGAACCGCTGGTCACATGCACAGAGGGTGTGTATGTTCCCAATGCACCAACCAGTTTACACTGAGGCTGGCCAAAACTACAACATCAACTTTGTTCATATATCGTCTTGAATGAAAGCTAACCATGTGTGAGACGGAACCGGTTTGTCAGCCACGTATACGTTTGTCCAAATCGATTCCACGAGTGGAGGCAGTGAATCTGAGTTGAGCAGCTGAGAATGTACGGTCTAGATCTGATCTCAACTTATGGCGCACATCATTGAAAATGTGGTCACCTTTGAACGCAAGCTTGATGTAGACTACCTTTTTACTGAGGTTTTGGGTTGGGTTACCTTTTGCGAATGATCTACTGTGAATATCTATAAACCTTTCTCGGTAACCATTCTTTAATAATGTTCTCCTTAGGAAATCCTCTTCTTCCTTTAGTGTATCTGGAGAAAAAAATGTTTCTCGTTCGATTAACTAGGGTTTTCACAAGTCCATGTTTGTAAGTCATGGGGAAAAAGCTAGAAAAGTGTAGGTATTGACCGTTCCATGTCGCTTTTCGGTAAACAGAGCGTTGTAGTGACGCCTACATAGGCAGATCAAAGCGGATGGCCAAACATATTCCGAAGTGGTTGGTGAAATCAGTGACGCAACCGACAATTGATGGTCAAGTGAGTACGAGAAATCCAGTGTCACCTGTGGCGAAACATCTCATGATAAGATGCACAATTGACCCCAATTCGTCTTTGAGACCATTATTACGTAATCGCAAAGCTAAACTTTTGGTAATTAGTGAAGCACTGCTTATTCGATTACATAACCCGACCTTGTGCGCACAGAAGTTTTTGATACAATCAATCCACTTACCGTGGAGTTCTACTTATCAATTTAGTAATCTTTGCTTCTACGCGTTCGGTCACCATAATTGATTAATCCCATGCGGACGTTCCTGGAGGAGTTCGAGGACTTCGCGGAACTGGTGGGGGTACGGCCAGATCGGGGTAAGTTGACGGCCCTCCGAGCGCTTCTCAAGGGCCGGGCGCAGGTTGTGTTGGATGCGGCTCGAAGAGACCCGGAGAAGATGAAGTGGGCCGCCGCGAAGGACGCACTGATCGCGCGGTTTTACACCCCGGCCGACTGCTAGAAGGCGTTGCGGAGCTTAAGGACGGCGCAGCTTGGAGTTGGT